GAATAGCTACTACTATTTCCTTAAATCAACTGGAATAGATTGATGCATGCATATAATTTCACAGCAGCGTGACACAAGACTGACGGGAGCTTCAATATTCAGTACTAAATAGTAATATATATCTATATTATAATCATAAAAGCCAAGTGTCGGTCGGTCAGTCAGTCGGTCATGCTCAATTTCTCCTAATTTCATGAGTTACACGAGTCCAATTCCACTTTTTTCCTAAAATACTTCCTCATTTCATTGTCTGTTCCCATTTTAGTTTAATTCAATTGCTAACATAGGTGTAAGTAACTCCTAAATTTTGGCACATTTTCTACTATATAAAAGCCTGTAAAGGAGGGAGTTTTTATACCAAGGATTTATTTAGCACAGGGTGAAATTTATTTGCTGTTTGTTATGAAGAGAAGTTTTGTTGATGATCGAGTATTTACAAGAAATGTGGTTTTAATAGAACTATTGCAATAATGCAATTGATATAATTGACATGATTAGAAAATAACTGTGATCAAGAAATGCTTGGAAGAGACACTCTTTAGGTACAGGAGATATTACTAATGATAGGTTTGGGTTTCTTGAAGCTAGTAGGCCCTTTATTTTTCTTATGTCAGTTTATGGGCGGCAAAGTTGCAAGTGCATATTGGAGAATTCAAATTTAGTAGGCTTTGGTTTCCCTTCATTTTAGATTGGCTTTTATACATGTACAGTTACATTACTGAGTATTGTTTCAGTGGTTTCTAAACAACTAAAATGGCTAAAACCTAAATTCTACTATTAAAACATTAAATTGACTTCTACTAACTCCACAAGTTAATAACTCACACAATGCCAGTTGACTGACATAAATAGTAAAACAATATTGTTTTCCAACAGTCCATTACTTTAGTACCTAATTATCTATGCCCATTGCTTGCTTTTGAGAACCAAAACTTTCAGTATACATTAATTTTTTAAATTCATGAAATGTAGTTACATTGATATAAAGCTGGTGTTTCAGAATATGACTAATTAAAGACCAATATAAGTTAATATTATGCATGACAGTGAATTTAGTAAAAGAAGAGCATGCACACACTCTTCCACCATCTACTCCAAAAAGGCATTATTCAATGGGGGTGGGTGGGTCAAGTAAAATGTTAAATGTGTTAGAAAAATTAATTCTGTATTTCAAACATTTATTTGATACTTACTCATCCCTTGATGTGTTACTCACACAATCACAATTGTTTTTTAGAAATGGACTTACTGTTCTTGCAAGTTAATAAGTTGAAAGAAAGAGTGAAAGAATTAAAAGTAGCTTGCCCAAGCAGAAATACTGTATTTGCTACCGGTTAAAATTTCTGGATAAAGATATCTTGATGAAGACAGTTTTCCAGGCCTGTTGATAACATTATTATTTTTCATGGATTTTCCAAGAACAGTAGAAAGCCTGTGGTTAATCTAACTTAAAAAAAAAAAAACATTCAAGGTCAGCTGAAATCAATTAAATTTACCCTAGATGTTTATGGGTATTCTTTATATTAATTATTTAAACATTAAATTAGAAAAGCAGTTGACATTGGAGGTGAAAAAAATTTGGTTGGTTGGTTGGTTTTTGGAGTTTAATGATGCAAAGCAATATTTTGACTTTTAGCTAATAATATCCACACTAATTAAATATGTTTATTTTAAGCATGTGAGAATTAGCAAGATATGTGAGCTGATAATAAAAAAATTAACTGGTAATTAACAGGTACACATTTCCTACCTCTTTTATAGGCACACCATCTGCATTAGTCATAATTAACCGTGCAACAGCACCACAGATATTGTCTCTGGCACGAGGTTTATTTTCCTTGGATAGCATAATAGACATTGCCTGGAGAAACTCAGGATAGCGGCTACAAAAATGGCTTAAGGAATCAAACTTGAAATATTAATATCATATGTAAACATCTGTGGCTAATACGTTACGATTGCCAATAAACCTGAAACAAGAAAATTATGATGTGTAGAGGGAGCTGTGGAGAATAATGGATGGAAGATTTGAACTCTAAAATAAAGAAATTGTAGTTGGAGAAGATATGTATTATTACAACATTTTGAAAATATAGAGTTCTTATTTTAGATAGATCAATTGGGATTCAATACTTAGGTTTTGATACTACAGGTACAAATAAGTGTAAGTTATGACACTAAGCTTAATACTAGATTGTTAGGCCTTATTTTTTTTCTTTAGTTTTTTAGATATTTAATTACTACTACTAGTACTGGATTATAGGATAATAAAGCTATTGCAAATTAGATTGAAATAATACGTTTTCACTAGTGTTAGCTAAGTAAAAAGGATAATTTGTTTAACTTAAAATATTACGTTACATTTCAATTACTATTTGATAACTGACAAGAATTTAATACATTAGTATATTGTTTAAATTAGCATTTAGTTGTAACATAAACAGAAACATGTTGTACATCGTAGCTGTGATAGTGACATTGAAAATTAATGGTATAAACATTGGTTATTATAGGTTTTGGTGTTACAGTTTAATACTATTAGATCTACAGTTTGACTTAGTAAGTGCAATATGACTTTAGCCACAATCTAAGCATATTCAGTTATTGTTAAGTTATAAAACAGGTTAAATAAATTGTATTTCTTACATAAATACAATCTAAAAACTAGTTATTTGTCACTTCTCATTTTAAAGATAAACTTAGTTATTTTAGTGAGAAGATGAAATAACACTAGAACAGCTTAAGACATTTAACACTAATGTTGTTGGAAAAAGTTCAGAGGAGGACTAGTAGGATGATACCTAAGATGGAAAGGTTGTCATATGAGGTCAGGTTAAGATCTTTAAAATGTTTTTCTTTTGAAACAAAAAAGAGTTAGGGAGGATCTGATCGAGGTGTTTAAGATTGTTAAGGAAATTGATAATGTTGATGCATAATTTGTTTCATATTTAATGGTATGAACAGTAAGACTAGGGAACACAAATTTTGAAGGTAGGAGTCATCTTCAGCTTAGATAGCTTTATTTTACTAACAGAGTGGTTAGCCTTTGTAACAGGTTGTCTTCAGATGTGGTACATGCAATTAATTTAAGAGTTTAAGGGAAAGTTTAATAAATATTCAAATGATAAGGGCTGGCTTTCAGGTTTTTAATGTTTAACTTAGTGGATACGATGGCCTAGATGGACTGAAAATAAATAGAACATATCTGAATTAAATAAAAGTATTCAAATGCAATGGCCTTTTATATTTTATAAATTTTAAAAACAAACAACTTTGTTAATATACCAAAAATTTTAAATGTTTTTTTTTGTTTACACAGTTGTTGAAAGAATTAACATATTTTCCCTCCTCCAAACTTAATACTTTTAATACTCTATTTGTACGATACAGTTTTCTCTGGGAAAGACCAAAGTTGATAATGAACAAGAATAGTTTTTTATCTTCCTATTCTTACCTATTTCCCAATTATACTTGTATAGCATTACCTTACATAGTTATTTGAAATGATATTTCTAATGATAGACCTAACTGGGTTGCTAAAAGATAATTTAGCTTGAAACTGCAGTACTCACATGGTCAAAGAATAGTTAATTTATTTCATTTCATGACAAAAACTATAAAATGAAGAAAACATGTTTGCTCGTACTCTACTGCCTGCTCTGTTGAGTAGTGAGTAGAATTTCTGAAGTTAGCATCTTCCTTACTTTAAAACGTGTTTTACATAAATATTCTCCTCACCACACAACAGATGAGGTAATACCTCACACCACAGCCAAAACGTTTTGTACATGCAAAAATTCTTTGAATGAAACTCCTACCTGTACACATAATACTGTGTACTGCACCAGACTATGATGTAATTAGCTTTACACTATAAACCCCTATCAACAGGAGGTCAACACATCTTCATGTGGAGTACTTTCCTTGAGAACTTTGTGTGAACTAAAAGCTCATTCTTGACAAGAAAAACAAAACAATAAAAAACATACACAAGAAGTGGGAAGGAAGTGGTTCTGTGACGAGGTGAGTATCTACTTGAAATACATTTTCAGGCAATTAAAATGTTAATTTCAGGAATTCTACTTTCTTCTCCATAGAATAAATACTAGAGTACCACACTGAGAAGATGATGGATGGACCAGTTGAGAGAAAGAAATTAAAAAGATGAGCTCCTTTATGAGAATAAGCAGCAGGAATTTGTCATTTACTAGTGAAGTGGGTGAACCTAGTGGAAAACAGCATCCATCTCAAGCAAGAAATGTTATTTACCCAGTACAAGTGGCAGTACAGAGGTACTGTCAAAAGAACCTCCTGTGTCGCAAAGGTGAGTGGAATGTACAAGCTACTTAACTACCAGTATATCTCATAGGGTTAGCAAACCATATACATGTAGTTTGGCTAGCACAATAAGTCAAGCCATACAGTACGTGAGAAATACCTACATGATACACTTACTAGAATGGTCTGATTCTTATTGTAAGGGTGGCCTATACGACAGTTCCAGGTAGATATCTCTGCCCTTCTTCCAATTGAATGGTGCATTTGTTAGGTCTCATACAAGTAAGAGTACACTGACCCAATGGGAAACTCTCCGTATTGACCACCCTTGATACTGGAGAAGCAAGTGTTCTCCCACTCCACTAGAAGAAAATGAAAAGGATGAATTTACACTGGGGAAAACAGAGTAACTACAAAAGCAGCCTTGTGGAAACTTATATCTCAACAATGGGTACTGAGCAGGGGTAGATGGGTTCAATGCTTTCTATTATCCCATACTTGATGCAGATTTCAAGAGATAGAAGTAATCCCTGTGAGGAAACACTGAAGATGTGGTAGGTTCTACATCATATACACAAAATCATATATATTTTTGCATGTTGAGGTGATTTATATTTTTTTTTGTGAAAGCTGCAAGAAAAAGAAATAATCAACAAGTCACCTTTTGAGACCCTCTGTGAAGGTTGAAGAAGGGTGATAAAACACAGAAGTGAAAGAAACTGCAATGTGGTGTAAGGAATGTCACATAACGATGTCAGGGATCATTCACTGACAGTAAGAGAAGCCAGGAGATGATGTACTTGATGGGAGGCAAGAGGGAAAAGAAAGAAGTCTTTCCCACAAAGATATAAATAAATCAGAAGAGTTGTTTAACCTAACTGGTCAAGGTACAAGGAGGTAAGGCAAGAGAAGAAGAAAATCTCAAAACAAAAAAGATTATGTTTAGTGCCTTGAAAAGGTGCAGTGTGCAAGATAACAATGAATTACCCAAACATAACAAAGGGAAGACTGTACATAGAAATGAAGGTAGGGCAATTATAAAAAGTAGCTCAAGTCTTGGGGAGGAAAGAACAATAAAATCAAAATGTAAACGTGGTTGAGAGGCATTCAAGGCAAAAATATCAGTACAACATTTCTTAGGAGAAAGAAAGTACAGAGAAAAGGTGGATGAAGATACACAAAGGTTCCAGTCCAGAAGCAAAATGGGATGAAGAGGAATAAAGAATAGAGGGGCTCTGAGGAAGTCTGTAAGAACCAAAGAAAGAAAAAAAAAAAAAAACTGGGAGGTCATTGATAATAGCTCTGTGTGAGCAGCGATTACAGAAATAGACAGACTGCCCTAAAGGAAGAGATGGTAAGTGAGCCAGCAATGATAAATCATCCACTTACTGTGATAAATTGTAAGTAGATGACTGACAAGAGTGACTAAGAAAAATGGGCTACTCCGAGAGAAAAACCTGCCTGTCTGACAAGGGACCAGACAAATTCCACATGTGAAGATGAATGATGATACACGAGGCTGACATAGAAATACCTCAGAGGCAGAAAAAATAAATGCCACAGAATCACCAAGAGGCAAAGAAGTGGAAACCACAGTTGAACTGGCCAAAAATGGGTGATAAGAAAAAAACTTGCAAGGAGTACTGTGAATTAAAGTCAACAATCTAGGAAGAAGTTGAAGAGAAGGATAAACATATAGAAAGAGAGTGGAACAACCTATACGCAGAGGGAATACTACCAGGGTCCTGGAATTTGGGAATGTAGACCAAAAATATTGAAGTTTAGTGTAGAAGGGTATCACAAATGTATCAAAAAGAGGGCTCCCAAAGGGCAATAAATCCACAGAAACACCAAGAAATGCAAGGACCATTATCTGAAGGATTTATTCGAGGTGAGACAGCCAATTCACCATTAAATTCAAAGATCCTAGAACATGAAAGGCCAACAACTAGATGTTGTTGTTATAAGTCCAAAAGTAGACCTTGAGAAAAAAGAAGTATAATTCCCAAGAGCAAGTACCTCCCTGCCAGTTTATATAAGAAATGACAGTGGAGCTTTTGAAATGGATCAAAACAGGATGTCCAGATAACTGTAACAAAAGACACTGGCAGACCGATTGAACTGCCCACATTTCAAGGACAATGATATGAAAAGACTGCTCTGCAGGAGATCAAACACTGAAAATGGTGAAGATATACAGGACTACATACCAAAGACAGCTACTGAGAGAAAAACTGAGTGACAAAGGGTTTCTTGCAAAGTGAGTCCATAGGTGGACAGTGTGTAAGAGCCAAGCTTCCACAAAACCAAAGCAGAGGGGTTGTTCCAGAAACAACTGATTACTGAGAACTGTGAATACTGGCCACTCGGTAGAGAGAGGACACCAAGAAGGGAACACAGAATGACAAACTCCTCATAAAACTACTGCATCAAGGAATAGTGACAAATGGAGTTCCATGAGATAACTAAGGGAGCCTACCTCCAGAAAATAAGGCACCCTGATAAAGCAAAACACAGAAGCAAATAAGTTGGGCAACAATGACAAAAACGTTGCCCCCTGATAAGATAACTCCAGTTGCCCCAAAAGGAAAATAACATAATTCTGAAGCTCGGGAGGTTTAGAAAACGTGGATATGAAAAGCAGGAATGAATACAATTCAATCTACGAAACTGAATTTGTAGAAGGTAATATAATAATATCATTATAATCTTTGTTTTGTTTTTTTATCAGTAGGTTTGGTATGTCCCTGGTACTTAAGCATTAGTCATTTTTGTATTGATAAAATTGATATAATTATAAGCTTCTGCTGAAACCAACACTGGATAAATGATGATGGGAAATATTCCTGTCAAAGAAATCATATCATAGGATCACAGACTCTGAAATATGTGTCCCAAAATCTCCGTTTTATTAAAAGAGGAAATCAAAGTATCACAAGAAAATATAATAATTTGTATCAGCTCTACCTGAAATAGAAAGATATAAATCTTAACATTTTTCTAAAAATCAAGAAAATGAAGATAAGAAAGATAATACTTTGAATGTTACTGAAAAGTTGAAAATAATGAGTCCAAAAATTATTTGATTTTTAATGAAAAAAGAGAACTATTAAATACTGCTGTGTCAAGAAAAAGAATGATCTTTTGATATAGATAAAATTCAAGAGAATATTTGTGCATGGAGAATGTGTCACACTCCTATTGGCTATTGTCTAATTATGATAGCATCATAGACTGGTGCAGTACATATTATGTGTAGGGATGGATGTTTCCTTCAAAGGCATAGCACTTGTGCAGAAAGTTATGTATCTATCTATTATTAGATATTAATTTTTTTTTATAAAAATACAAAATTGTAATTACTGGTATGAGTGAGCCTCAATCTTTACAATTTTAGTGATGAATATTTAAATAAAGGATACTTAAATAAAGGTTGTCCAGCACGTTCAACTAACACACCAAGACCATAAACTGAATTACTTCTGACTTCATCATCATCATCTGTCATACCATTCATGAAGACTGGTAACAAGTGATCAAGAAAAGCACATACTGCACCCTGGTTTAATGTTTCAACCACCTCAGCTAGCATTCCTATAGAAAATGATTTGTCTGCAACACTACATGACTTTTTCTGTAGGGAAATGTTCAGGGTTTTATTTAATTATTTGGAAAATACATAATAAAATTATACTAATTATTTTACAAATTACAATATTGTTAATAAATGTTTTACTTTTAAACTTTTCCTTATGCTAATAACAACTAAAATATATGCTGTCACAAATTTTATTGCGCCCATCAATTAGTAACAAATGCAAAGGATGTTTTCCTAACATACAGAAACAAAATACATTTGATGATTTTGTTTGTTGTCAAACATAAAGCTACACAATGGACTACCTGTGCTGCCAACTGTGGGTATTAAAACCAAAGATTTAACATTGTAAGCTAGACTTACTGCTGAGTTACTGGGGAGGGAGGATAATTATAGATAAAAGACAAAGATTAAATGATACTTTTTTTTGTTTCCAAAGAATAATGTACTTTATCTGCATCAAAAGGTGAAGTTATTCTTAACATATTTGATCTTAAAGTTAAACATGCTTTAGGTGATATATCTAATGCAATTTATAGTTATTCTAAAAACACACAAAACATCATGCTGACCCAGGATTAACTAAAATTTTGTATGGCGGGGAAAAGAATTAGCTACATTTGATACTTTGCAATTCTAAACTGAATCTTATAAAAATTCTTATTCTTTAAAAAACCTTGAATGAAGAACCTGTACCGTTTTATTCAGGAATAGCTGTAAAACTCCTGCAAAATATGGAGCAAATTCTTGAGAGTTCATCACTTTCCCCAGAGATGGTATAATTTCTGCTGCATACTCCACCAACATGCTATCATATTCAGCCTGATCTTGTTCTTCAGATGGTTCGTCATTATCTGATTCATCTTGACATGCAAGCTGAAACAATTACATTACAGTATTGATGTATGTTTTTTTGTGTATGTCTAAACATCAAAACTTTAGTCAACAATTTAGCAAAATATAAATACTAAAATAATGTTAATAATTTAGAAAGTAATTTAGACAATACAGCAGGTAAAGTGGTAATTCTTTAAGTTTAAAAGAAAAGTGCATTCTTAAAGCTTTAACAAACCATTTCTATCCTTGTAATATAAAATCATCCTTAATTTTAAAACTTTTCTGAAGGCTCACCTTCAGTTCTTTAGAGGGCTTGAAGGAAGAGTAGATTTTGACCTCTGAATGTTTAGAACAAGTAACCAATAAAAGGTTCAAACCTTTGATAGTACTAATTTGCATAGTTTATTGATGACGTTACCATAACTACTAATTTATATCTGAATGAAAAACCTTTTATTTTACAGGTTAATTCATAAAAATGAAATAAAACAGGTATTTTAAAAATGTTAAGACAGAACAGTAATTATGTTTTCATAATTTAAATAAAAATACAAAATGTACATTGTTCATGTACATGTAATTGATGCTGCTTGAGATAAACATAAATATACAGTAAGCTGACATTGTAAGAGCACCTTACTCTGGTCAATTAAAAGAATGGCAGCTTACATAAACAAAACAAATCTTTATTTAACAGTCATAGTTGTTTGAAGATAATATTGCCAACTGATGAAACAGGCCTAATAAACATACCCCCCACCCACCCTTATTTTATGAGAATTATAATAGGTTTGTTCAGTTTTGATCAAATATGTATTTTAAAAGTTCAGTCTTTGTAGTATAATTTTCTTTAAAAAATAAAATAAAATGTATATTGTTATTCATCACTGAAATACATGGGTGTTAACAAATTGTAAATCCTGGTAAAAAACAACTGTAGTAGAGGGTGTGTCCTCCGCTCGAAAAAATTTGACATTTTAGATGCTATATGGTGCAATCTGACAAGTTTTAGGACAGTTCCTAACCATCCATAAATACTGCAAAAATGACAAAATTACCTGTTTAGACAGCAATTTTCTTTCCACTTTTTTCCCAGTTCATTCAAAGAAGTGAAGCAGAAGGGCTAATTTCACTGCATAGTCCAGACACAAACATAGGTCAAACTTCCAACAATAAAACTTAAAAACATATATACACGTGTAATACAAATCAGATGTGTCATAAGTGTATTTTCATTTTTTTTTGTTATTAGATAGCCATGGGCCCCATCTTCAGCAGCTGGTCTTTGCGGTCAAGTGTCCAGTATTAAAACATGTATTTACATCTCTTCATCTATCCTTCCTCTTATCGCATATAAGTTTGGCTGTTTTAATAGTATAACTGCAGAAGGGGTTGTGCTTGTGCTTTTTACCTATACATACATATAATATTATTCAACACAAAATGTATTAATTACTAATTCCTAACAAATCCACAGTCACAGGTACCCAGTTTGAATTTCCACAACACACAATAAAACATTTTAGTGAACTTTGTAACTGCTTCCCAATACTCAATCTTACAATTTTACATTATACATTAGCAATTCCTAATATAAGACTAATGTTGTAAACAAATGTGAAAATTTCATTATTTTTGTAATATATTTGTGAACAGGGTATTATGCATACTTGTGCAGCAATATCTTGTCATTGCTTTCTCACTTTAAAACCTTTTTAAACAACATGCAACATGGTTTGTCATCCTAGTCAATTTTGCTGAGCCATTTGCAAATGGCCACCCTAGATAATTTACTAAGTTTAGTCATTTCCATCCCCATTTTTTTTTTTCCTTTTCAATTTTTTTTTTCAGATCAGGACCCATCTCTGATAGCAGAATTTTTAGTAGTTTCAATCTAAATGGCTGCTGCATTGAACAAGCACTCATTCCCAATAGCAAGTGCTAATTTATGGTAGTACTACATATCTATTATGCAGTTTTTTCAACACCTATTTTGACTATGATTTTGGCAAGTTTAACCAAAAATTCTAAGAAAAAAACATGCAACCTTAAAAATTCCTCACAATACAGAATTCTATCTGCATACAAAAAGTTAACACCCATGTATTGGTGAAAAACATGTCAAAAATTAAGTATGTAATAAATTTATGATTATAACATTTACCTTCTATTAGATCAATATACTTAATGTGTTTCATTACAATTTTTGCTATCTTAGAATAATTATGTCATACTTCATTCAGTAATTTTACCTAAAATATAGTGGTGTTTGTTCTTGTTCATTATTTGACTGTACAAGTTAAAAAAATTATTTAAAAACATTTAAGTGTAGGAATGGGTGCACCAAAAAGTGAGGAAAAAGGTAGGAATGGGCATGATGTAATAAAACTTGCTCTGTATAATCTCAAAAGGGAGTGTGTCAAACATCTGGTCCATGCCGACTTCATTTATTCTTTCTATCATCCTGTATATAATAAGTCAGGTAGACTAAACTTATCAAACTTAGTTATGCTTATTATACAATGACTAGAGGTTTCTGTGAATCAAATTATTGGATGCAATAGATGTACTGTAAAGTCTGTTTATATGACACCAACAGAATCAGATATTGTGGACCATAACTTGTATGTATTTATCTTTACAACTTCTCCCTCCTTTTGCAATTGCATGAGTAGGCAACAGGATTTCATACATTAACTATATAGGTGGTTTCAAACACAAAGGAAAAAATATTAAGAGTTTTTTTGTGCATCGACATCATGGATTTATTACTGTCTATACAAAAGTATAAGAATTACAGACAAGCTTTTATATGTACCCATAAGTTGTATAATATGAACACAGAAAAACGAAATAGGCACAAACAAGATGTTGGACACACTTCCTTTTGAGGTTGTAGAGAGGAAGTTATTACACCATGCCCATGCCTACCTTGTGTCCTCACTTTTTGGTGCACCCATTCCAACACTTTCAAATATTTTTTCCACTTCTTCATGCACTATTTTCATACAAGGTGGCATGGTCTTATGCATCATTCATTTATTTGTGTTGATATTCTGTATGTATATTATCAGTGTGGGTGTGCACCATAACCTTATGAAATGTGTAAATAATAGTGTATGTGATGTGCATTCTCTTCACTTATGGTGTGTGTGTATATACATTATGAACGTGCAAGTGTGCTGAACATGTGATGTCACATACTCTATAGTGGCAATGTCATTTGAGTGATGTAGTGCAAGTTGTGGTTGTGTGCATATACTAAGGATTGATAAATTAGTTAATTAATTTAATTAACTACTTCGCCTAATCCTTGCAATAACTATAATTTCATGTAAGTAAAATTGGTAATGAAAGTTGGCATTTATGAAAGAAACAGGTACTATTCATGTCAAGTATACCATCAGGTAAACTAAGTACAAATAGTTTCAATTTATCTTCAGTTGAATGGGAAGCTTGTTTGATAGAATGAGTAGTACAATCAGACATAATTGTAGTCTCAATTGAGCTCAAATGGAAGAAATCCAGATGAAATGGAAGCAATGCCAGTTCAACTGAAAAAAAAATTAGTGATCACCTCAAGCTTAACAAAATAATTGAAATATTAAATAGTTCACCTGTAGTGTATAATTGCCCATCACAAAAGCTTAATGATTTAGCCTCACAGTCAGAGTTCACCTTATAAATGCTTATAACACTTTCAACTTGAATAATTTTTCATGATGAAAAACTGGAAATAACACTCTCCATACATTTATATGTAGTAAAAACTGGTTGCAGCAGTTTGAACTAGTTATAGACTCAAATGCTACATATTAAATGCTTCATAAATACAAACTTATTTGAATTTACAATACATATTATAAATTCATTGCAAAAGAGTGTAGCTTGTCTTCTAGCCTAGATAAAGAAGCTTCTCTCGAGGCTTACTCTGTGCTTGCATACCCCATACTACTCTTAGTTCCAGATCTTATCATATGATGTTGTAGATTGAGAATACCACTATTTTATTTGACCACACCTACTCAGTACACGAGCAGATGTATGTATTTTAAAATGGCATTCCTGTTCAAGGTATTACCTGATGTATGTCAAATAGCTCTTTCTTTTGATGATGTTTAGTAGAGAAAAATGCTAGCACTAGCATGTGGTCCCTGTTCTATTTGGTGCACTTATAACTATGTTAAGTCTGTTTGTTACACAGCTAGAAGCACTCAACAATGTCAGTCAGTCAATGAGATGGAGACGTTTGTGGTTTAGTGAATGTCTTTGTATCTGTTCTGCTGATTTCCTCAAGTTGTTCTATGACTTGAACTTTGTATGCAGTTTGTTTATCACCTAAGTTTGTCTCAAATTCTTTTGAAGATTTATCATTTGGTTGTTAAAAGTGTATATGAGTAAACAGTTTGTATTGTTTGTATCATGTATCCATCCCATTCCTACTATAAGTACTACCATACTTGTGATGTACATTCTCTATATATTTTCACTTCTGTAATCTGATGCTGAATGCTGATGAAATTCTGTGTGAACAACAAAGACACAGTAGATATATATTCAGTCTGAGACAAAAACGTATACATCATTAATCCTATTGTATAAGTAATGCTATTAAGCATTTTTTCCCCCTATTTTTAAAGCATTTCAGAAAACAGAGTTCAAACACCTATATCAACTTATTTAAGTGCCAGAAAACCTGGAATAGTAAAGTTATAATATCCTAAATTCATCCTTTCAAAAAATTATAATCAGAATCTTAAATGTATGATAAACAACAACGAATATAATTCATAGCCAGTGGCATAACTACAAAATGTGGGGCCCCCTGTATAAAAAAGTAATTGGGCTCTCCACATCTATTCCCCTTTCCAGCAATTAAGTTTGTTAGGCTTTTTGGGCCATCCTGCAACTATGGAGGTTGCTGGGGCATACTTATGCAACAAAACTGGGTATATACAATTACTTAATCAAATTTGTTGAGCTAAACTTCCTAAGCTTATTTATTCTCAGCTTATGACAAAGGAGCAGTTATTAATTTTCTTCTTAATCAATACATTAATGTAAAATTTGTACCACTTGGGATTTATTTTGAACCCGAACGAGATACGATGACCAGTGCCAACTATACCTGTTGAAATAATCTAATTGTTCATCCCTGATTTTAACTAACAGATACCATTTGTTCTTCCTGTGTTTTATAAAACAAGAGATATCCCACACAGAAATTATCATTTTAAACAAAGCCTAATTCAGTCTTTTCACTATGCACGTAAAAAGTTTTTAACAAAGATTATTCATAATTAAATTATAACTCTTGATTAGCAAAGTGCTTACTATGTAAAAACATATTACCTATTGAGGCAACACTAAATTATCAGGAATGAAACAAAAATATTTATTTTTAACATCTTCAAATGAAGTTATTGTGGTATTAACAGACTTCATACATTATTCAAGAAGTTTATTTTACAGACTTGAGTAAAACAATGACAATTGTACAATTGACAAATATTTCATCCATCACGACCATGGTTTCACCAGTAAAGGCATCGTATCTTGTAAAGAGGTACATATATATGTGAAGTAACCTTAACATTCACCCTGAGACAAGTAAGGTAAAATTTTGAGGAGCTTAAGCTGATTTAGTCATTCAGAACATTATTGGAATTCAATTTTATACTTCTATTTATTTCTAAAGTTTCCATGTTATTTAGTTTTTTTTTTACATTTTTCACAGACATGTTAATATTTATAAAAGTTCATTTTACCTTACTCTTGAACACATCTTTGACCAAACTGATTAGTGCATCAACTATGCTTCTCTGTTCAACCATTATTCCTTGAATTTCTTTTATCATATCTTCTAGAGTTTCTAACACAGCCAACACCACAGTTCTCTCCGTGTCTTCTCTGGCCATAGATAGGAACTTTGGTATTACAACAGCAAGAGCCTTCCGCAGTGCTTGGATACAAAATATCAGCACTTAGAAGTTTATATATAATTTGTAAACAAAATTAAGTTTTTGAACAAAAAAATTTATCTTTAATTATTATGTGTTTCTAACCTCATACTTATATAATACTTATGACTGATTCACAAGCAGTACTGCATAAAATACAGATGGAAGGCATAAAGCAAAGCAACTGTACAGCAAGACCATTATCTGGATGTATGTGCCAGGTCATGCAATGGTAAAGCTAAACATATAAGCTGACAAGTTCATAAATGAAGCCCCTACCTTAAATCATGCACAAATCTACTGGAGATATCAACCTTCTCTGTACTAATAAGGCAAAAACAGCAAACATGGAAAGTCTTCATTGAGATTTAGAAAGAATGAGACAACTAGAAAATAAAGTAACATATGCTGTAACTAGAAAGAGAAAAAGATGTTGAATCAATAGGACGGCATCCAGCCAGATGGATACTGGTAACATCAGTAAAGAAACTTTCTTATACCTTCTGTGAGGCAGCCAATCTCCACAGGAAAAGCTAGTGGCTGTTGGTGCAACACCTGGGATTGTCACCTAGTGGTCAACATACAAACTCAACCACACATGTCTATTAACCTACTGGAGTCATTAACCTTTACACAACCCTCAAACAGATAAATACAAAAGTCAAGCAACTACACAAGCACTAATATTAATAAAGACCAACATATACATACCATCTTGTTGATCCGTAGCCCCACTCTCACTTGCAACTTGATGAAGTGTAACACAAAACTGGCCAAGAGCAGAGACTGCTGCTTTTCTAACATTTTCCCCTGGGTGTTCAAGGAGTTTCTGGACCTCTTCAAAGCATTTTTCAAGGTAAGGTAGAAATGTGGCTCTGGAAATGGTTAAAAAAGCAAAATTGGTTTGCAAGAGATCAAAATAAGAAAAAAATATGTCTCAGTAACTAACTAAGCCAATTCTCTGAGGCTATAGCCTTTTCCTTTCCAAAAAAACAACAACATTAATTATGCATATTTATTCACCAATAACAACTTTTATTTAAAATAAAGTTTTTTATTAAATTTAACTAACTTTTGGGACTTATTAAACAGTGATATTTATGGATAAACAGCAGCTAATACTTTAACAATCTTTTACTTAAAAAATTTTCTGAAACATTTAATCTTTTATAACATTGTTTTAGTAATTTGTCTTGTGATATCTCAAGCTTGATCAGTTTGGGTGTTATAAGAATATCCTCTGGTTGTAGAAATTGCTCACATGTGCTAGTATACCCAGTGGAATGGTTGTCAAGATGATGCTTCATCCACATGTATCTATTTGAAATCAATTTTAATGTTAGATACAATGATTAGACAGTAGCCAGTATAAGCACAATGAAAAGAAATCCACAGGTAATTCCATGAGAGATGATGTGGACAGTTCATCCCTCTGGCTAGAGTCACTATGAAGGAATGTGTAACAAGCACAATGATGGGACATAATGTAAGCAAAGAATCATCATAAAGAATGGACATGGAACGTCTTATTCTTAATAATATTTTAATATAGAAGATTGACTGAAGAAATGTCTGACAGAAAATTGTTTACATTTTAGAAGAGGGAATGAAATTACAAAAAAAGAGCAGTTATTTGCAAATAATACAATGAGAGATATAATGATGGCATGATTATTGACACTAAGAGTATTTGTTAAAAAAAAAGCCAAAAGAAGACAAGAAGCAGTTACATAAATTAAACAATCAATATGGATAATGAAAAAAAAATCTGTGCTGCAGCATGACAGAAGGAAAGCATAAACAAAGAAGAAATGTTTCACCACTGATGAAACTCTTTCACTGCAAGAGAAAAATATGAAGACTAGAAAAACAGAAGTCACATCGCAAGTAAAGAAAAGATTTACTCAAATAACAATTAAATAAGGATCTAAAATCAACAGGCATCAAGATGAATCAAATATCCAAGTGAAAAATAATGCAGAAGGAGGAAGGTTTTCCCACATAAGGTGAAGCTAAAGAGAAAAAAATATTCAAGGGTAGTTACAATATTACAAAGACACTGAGTAGAATAAGAAAAGACAGAGAGCATACAGAACAGCTGAATCCAATTTTGTGCAAGAACATTCATACCAAAAAACACAAGTTTCGAGTCAAATTCTCAAAAAAAAAAAGAAAGCTTAGAAACATTATTTTGTGAGGTATCAAATATAGAATGCTAAAAAGAGGTTAATCAAAACAAGATAAATGTTCAATTTAAGAACCTTTGGCACAAAGCAAGCCAAAAGAAAAGCAGAACACTCTTGGACAGAAGAAAGTTGGTTGAGAAAGTGAGTGAACTCTTATATTTAATGATTATGAGTGTTACAACTTTCCACATGTATTGACATGCTCAGTAAAACAACAGTCCAACAACTAATTAACTAAGTACAACTGAAATATGAAAAACTAAGGGCTCTGAAGAGATTTCATAACAGCTTGAAGAGTGGCCTCAGAAGCAACAGAAAGTTATATTTTGATGTATATTTGAAATGGCTAATGAACAAAGGAGGGAAGTAGAATTAAAAACAATTTGTGTAAAGTTATCTTTCACTGATCTATCAAACTACACAGAAGACAAACAATATATTCAAAAGAAAATACATCTAAATAGCAAGAAAAAATTGTAAAGAAAGAATAACAGGGCTTGAAATTTGCTTGAAAGTGTCTGCTAGGTAGCCCATGTGGCCCCTTAAAATCAAAAGTAATTAAAAGTTTGAATCCACATAAGTTGATCTAAACATTTCTTAACTGAGCAGGACTTGTGTCAAATCATGAATGGATCTTCCCAAATTTATGAACACTCATCAGTCACGTACAGTCTACAAACATCGTCACCATGAATGCCCATATATTCAAAGTAACTGCACTTTGATTAATAAGAATGCCATAAATTTGTTCAATATTCAAACTTTTTTGTCATTGTAATGGAATTAATATTTAAAATTTTATCAAGATGCTACTTTTTTAACTTTTCATATATCACACTAAGCCTGCATTAAGGTTCACAGATTTGAAAGACGTACATAAAAGTTCTTTTTTGTCAACACTTTCCACAAACAGGCAAGTAAAAATTGAAAACTTGTAAGTTGTTTGGAGAATCTTCCTCACTGCATGTATATTGTTTGTACATGTTAGGGCAAACGCTTTTGAATCCAACTTTGCAGACTGCACTATCCAAAAAACAACAACATATTACTGTTTTACCGATCATGTCACAATCGGAAATCACCGATTGCTGATAATTATAGCTCCCAATCGGCCCCATCTTGATTATGTACAGTAAAGTTGATGATGTCATTGTTTAGTATTGTTGACAGTTTTAACCTTGAAAATTGTAATGACTACATACAAGGTACTTTGAAGCTTCATAAAATTTCAAATGGTTGAAGTTATTAACTCTTTCGTGACAGGCTTGGTATAATATACACATTTGCACATGTTAAGTATTTATACTATAGCTTTTAATGCAGCAAGTGTATCTTCATAAAATTTGGTAGACTTTTAGTAAAGGTTACTAAAGTCTTTCCTTCACAAAATATCTGATATTTTTAATGAAGTATTTTGTTATAGATTTGTTTGTGAAAATTTTGAGTCTGTTTCGTTACCAGTCCAAGTGTGAAGTGATTTTCATGTTATAACTAAATAACTATTGTTCATTCAAAAAATTTGAAATATTATTTGTGTAATCTCTAATACTTCCTAAATACATTCCAAATGTTTGTTTTCAGTAAAACTTTAAAATTTTTCTATTATTTTCTCTACTCTAACTCTATGGGGTCTGCCAATTTGACCAGACTTATAATTATCAGTAAAAATTAGGAAATAAATATGAATTATGCTTTTTTCATTCTAGAATGACTACAAATTTTTAGTCTAAATAGCTTAAATCGCACAACATTTATTTATTATTATATATAGATATTTATTATTTATTATACTGACCTTCCAGCCATACCTGGCTAACAATACAGAAGTTACAGTGATGCAGCATATGTGCACTTGTGATACTGTATCCAATAATATATAACGGACCTTTAGTCTTTACAAAATGATATGTCTTGGTTGTGTTTTATTGGACTAGTATTTAGTAATATACAGTCACATTTCAATTATTATACATTATATATATATGTATATACATTAATACTATTTACAAATAAGTTCTTAAACATAGAACAGTAAATAAAAATGTAAACAAACAATTATCTCTTCTAGTTATGACCTTTGTACTCGTTTGCTGCTTGTTGTAGGTTGCTAAGCCTTATGAAATGTCTCACATGGAAGATGTGAAAAAACTTTTTTTAGGTTTTATATATATATATATATATATATATACATTTTAAATAACCAAAAAAATCATAAATTACTATATTGATACAATTCTGCTATAATTTATCAAGCGTAGTAACTGAGCTGTATTTGTGTCTAAAAAATATGAATATGAAATATGAACACTATACAAATCTTGTGTGAAAAGAACAAGATTAACACAATAACATGTCAAAATGGATGAGAAAACCACTAGGGGACATTCTGAGCTTTCGATTGGTTATTCACATGTCATATATAGAAGTAAGCGTATATATATAAAGGAGAGTTTCCAAAAATGGCAAGAGATGGGTGGGGGCCACTGTGTTTGATTCAGTACATGAGCAATATCTTAGCAAATAGAAAAGATAAAGAGGTTCTTATTTTAAATTCTAGCTTCTCAATATCTGTAATTTGAGTTTCTTTGTATTTTGGCTGATTTACAGCAGCAAAACAAGAAGGTGAAAGCACGTGCAGCTACATAAGTATTGGTTCAGCCAAGCAAACTAGATTAGCAGTTTCTAGCTAAAGTTTTTAAAAAAATTATATAGGTGGATAGTTATTATTCATTGCCAACTACTAAATTTTAAAAAATTATCCTAATTAAAGTGTGTTTCACACCACGTGATATTAGCTTAAGCAATTAGCGTAAATAATGATGCTTGATACAATTGTACTGAGTGCATGCGGGAGATGGACAAAAGTCTGTTAATCTAGATCCAATGGCGTTACTACAAAGGAAGTTATTAACACTGTTTTAGAGAGGAAAAAACTACCACCATATATTTTAAAGAATCTTGTTGGTTCTGTAAAGTATAGGTCTATTCTGAATAATAGGGTTGTGATCCTAAAGCTAATGTGGGTTACTATTGAGTGTCACTTTCTTACTTGCTGTAGTCTGTTGGTGTGTATTGACAAAAAAGTCATGATATATAATCAAAAACACCTTAGGCATGAAAAAAAAGGTGCAGTCAAACTGATAGCTGCACGTATAGCATCAATAAGAATTTTAGAGCCAATATTCATTCATTAGTTAGCTAGGCTTTATCGACAATCATGCCTGAAATTGAACAAAAAAGCATGGTCTGAACCAAAAGAATGTAGCCAAAGGCAGATCCTCCAGTGTAAAAATAACTGATCTGAGATTTAAAAAAAAAGTTTAAAAAATCTAAATAATGAACAACCAAACATGTTATGATTCAACCCATGACCTGAAGCATAAAACTCAGAAATATACGATACTCTAAAAAAAACAAAAAAAGGATTGTAGTATTGAAAGAGAAAAAATTAGTGACATCAACCCTAAATAAAGTTGATAAAAACTTCCTAGAATCATACACACAAACCTCAGGTTAGGTGTATCACAACATACATATCACCTTTAAATGTGAAAGTGTGAGAAGTTATTTTTGAAACAAATCAAAAAGACCCAAGTCAAACAACCTTCTTTAAGATCAAAAAAGTAGTTAAAACCAAATAAGAAACCTATTCCATATATTACTCACAGGTAAGATAAAGAATATGGGAATAAGGAATCAAATAATTGTAGTTAAATCCTTTTATAAATCAAGGACACAGATGATAGGAACGTCAACCAAATGAGAAAACATGTATGGCAATGCAAGATGTTGAAGTATGTTCTTCACCATGAACTAGCAAGAACATACTTCAATAAAAATTTCATAAAATAAGAGGCTTGGTTGATTTTCCAAATCAATACATTTAATTTGGCTACTAACAGTAATAACACGTAACAATAATGTGAAAGCAGTGTTAGAAATAGAAAACATTTCAAATCAGTTTGCAAAAGAAGTTAAAAAAAAACACCACATAGCTGGGATAAAACAATATCAAGATTTTAATAAATAAAAAAGAAAATTTACAAAAACATAAATTTTAGGTAATCTATGAACAAAATAAAGGGTCACTCAAATTTAGTAATAAGTATGTTGAAACCTTTAAGTAAATTAGCATAAAAATATGTTGAAATATGGATGGTACTTTAAGTTACAACATTTGCATACAAAATCAAATGAACATAGTATACACATGTGCTCTTTCCTACTAATAAAGCAAGGTTCTCCGACTATCAGGAAAGATACTTCACAAGATATATCAGTTAACTGGTATACGAAAATGACAGGATAAAGACTACGTACAAAAGATCTTCAGTTTATTATTTAGTATCTATTGAAAAGTAGAAAATGTATTTTCAAATATGTTTTCCTTTGACTCAGAAACACACATTTGATGTCTAAACATACTATACAATGAACTCAAAAACATATATTTTGTGTCTAAGCATCCTACAAAATGAACTTGGAAACAGATATAAGGATATTTAATAGTCTTGAATATGTAATTTCGAAATTTTTTCAACCAGAAAGGTTAAATAATAAAAAGCATTTACTGTATGAATAAATTCTTGAAATAAGACAATAAACAATATAAAAATGGAAAAACAGTTTACAACAAACATTACTTCCTTCTTACATGATAGAGAAGACTACAAGATTATAAGAAATTATGAGTAAAAGTAAAGAAGAATAAACAATATGACATCCACATTATATCTCCTACATACAGTATAGGCCCTTAGCCCTATACCAGTGCTCATCAAGCCAGCTCAGATATAACACAGTATTGGTCAAGATGCTACTTATATCATTAACTGCTTGAACAACAATGGTTTCAATGTAAACTAGATTAGGCTGAAACATGAAATAAAAAGTTGGATTTACAAAGATTTTCAGAAACAAGATTTTGAAAGGACTTTTCTGATATCTTAGAGTTCAATTGTACAAATTCCACAAGAAATGCTATAGCACATATTACTCCAGAATGTGCCAGAAGATTCTTAATACTAACTATACATGTATCCTACATCATACATTATTGAAACAAAATAATAAGTGCTTATTTCATGTATTTTAATGTACTAAATGGAAACTCAATTGTTCAGGCATAAATGGAATACTGTTAATATGTCCTACACTATATTCCATCACAACTTACCCAACATTTGCAGCAATTTCCCTCAAGGCACAACAGGTATCTTCTTTTTCCTCCAAATAAGAATTCTCAACACTATAGCTGAGCAACCACAAAAATCTCATAAATGGAAAGAACATGACTATGTACATATCGCACAATATTTGAATAATTGTTCTTCAGTGTGATCAGTACTAAAACAGTGTTATACATGTTTACTGAATGAAGTTATATAAGTTTATAATGAAAAGTGATCAATAATTTTAAGGAAATATAGGTATTATTTACCTTGTAAAGAACAAAAAACTTGCTATCAAACAGTATATTATTAATAAAACTAATTAAACAAGAGTAGTTTCATGACTTGCAGTGAAAAATATTTAAAATTTTTGAGGATAATTTTGATAATGTTAGAAATTATTTCAGCAGGAAGACAAATGAATATTGCAAAAAAAAATGTTCATGGATAATACCAACAGATAAAGATAC